AAAAAATGGTTCATTTATTATTAAACTTCGACCAGCTCCTGGTAGAAAATTGAATTTTGATAAATTATGTACAATTGGTACTTCAAAATAATCGGGAAAAAACAAATACCGCAACTACAATATGTATAGGTAAGCCATAAAATATCTGCGGAATTCGTTGTGTACCAATATTTGGAAACAGGACGGAAATCGAGGTGAACGAATTGATGCACGGCGGATTATGTTCTAAAAATGTATAGAACCAGAGAGATAATAATTATAATCGGTCTGAAGGACGTACCACCGACCAATTTCAAACAGAAACTTCGACGCCACTATGATAATAAATAGCATTACAATATTATACATTTATACAGTACATTATAAATTATTTACGTTACGCTGTATTCGTGACATTTATTATCGCATGAAAAACCTTCCGCGTTTTTCCATTAAAAAGACTAAATAAAAAAAAAAAACAAATCTTTTAGCACTACAAAATTTTAGTATCATATCATTGCTATTATGTACTAAGTAAACTGACAATATTAGTTAAGTACTCTATAATATTATTATTTATTTGGTAAAAAACATTTTACAAATACCTATATAAAATTGTAAGGATGACTCCTTACTATAGATTTTTAAGTTTTAGTATAAAAATGTTCTCATCAAGTAAATAACTATTAAGTATTAAATACCAATTTTGTTTTTGGTACTTAGTACTTACCTAAAATTTTCATTTTATTTTGCGCAATGCAATATAATATTGCAATATTGTGCAGTGCAAAAAGATTTTTTTTACATAGAGGGCTTATGTTATGATATCGTTAATATTTGTTTTATTTTTTTAGTTCATTTTTTTAAAAATATAAACCATGTTTATTATTACGTACACAGAAAAACTACATAGGTAACAAATCAATTAGTAAATTACGATGACATTTGCACTACTATCCTATCCTCACCGCGCAACTGTACGAACTACAAACACTAAAGGAAGCATTGTCGATACACGGAATAGTTATCGACTAATTTAAAAAAAAAAATATAAATATCGTTGAGGTTATTCATTATTGTTTTACTCATAAATATCACTAAATTTTGCTTCAAACTCCACTTAAGTTTTCATTGTTAACATAATTACACAAAAATATAATCTGCTCAAAATATTTCCGATATTTTGATGCATATTTTAAACAAATAAGTCCAGTTGCATTTTTGCAATAACGATGTACATAAATGAGTAACTCTACACTTAAATGATAATATAATATTATGTTAGTAAGCGTATCGTGATTATTATCTTTATTATTTTTAGCTCGCACCGCGATTAGCTAATTTTATTGCAAGATATTTCATCTCATCCACAACGATCATGTGACAGCTGAATTTGAGAAAAGAAAAACTTTTTATGATAAGTTTATACTTTTCAATAGCACTTTATCTTGTTAAAAATGTATAAACTTGACTCTTTAGAAGTTTAAAAGTACGCGTGACGATGCAAACAAATTAAGACTAATTGCTTAAAAAGAAAGGAAGATTTAAATGAAACTTTTAAAAATGTTCAAAGTTTTAAGATATACTAACAACTCTCTTGAGTAATCGCTAAATGAATTGTTCATGAATATAGGTTCATACATAATTAAATAATATTACATATACAATATACATATTGATGTAGCTTTAAAGATTTAAAAACTTTATTGATTTGGACTCAAATTTTTCGATCAAAAGATCATTTTCTACACTTAACTGAATAAAGAATTATCTTAGGTCATCTATCTGTTCAAAAAAGCGGTGAATTTAATTTTTTTTCTAAATAATAAATATATATTTAATAACTACTCTAATACACCAGTAGGTTTAACTCATAAAATAGTAATGTAATACTATTCTTATCGAAATTGAACACCAAGAAAATAACCTTTTTTTCTAAGATTCCTTATCAGTTATAATACTATTTATTTAATCATCTTTACTATGCAGCATATGAATTGAGTAATAATATTATTTAAAGTAATCACTTACAATTAATTTGTAAAATATAACTGGTAATTCGCTAATTATATGAAAAATATCAAAATTTATGTTAGTATTTGAAGTTTTACCTACCTATTAAAATCGAAACAATATTGTCAATTATATCATTATCTATACCTTACCTTAATGTAAATAGGTATTTAGACTACAAATAATGGATATAAAACATTAAACAAATCCCTTACACGGAACATAATATCTAAATAAATATAACAATACGTTAGAATTTTTTTTTTTAATTAACATGAATAATATAACAATTTTTCCTTTTCTGCACGATTAAACATCATTAAGTTATAAATTACAATAGTTACTCTTAAACATATAACTACTAACACATTTAAAAAATAATATAATTTAAAAAACAACATTTACCGTTTTTAGTTAGAAGGTAGTAGCTAGAAAATAGAAGTAACGAGACATAATACCAATTAAACTTCTTAAAAATTAAAATAGATATTCAATTTCAACATTATAATAGGTAATGTTAAACTTATTAGTAAATATATTTTTAATATTATTCTTTTCACAGTCAGAATCATCAATCAATATCCAATAGAATGAACAGTTTAACAATGATTATTCAATAAAATATCAGGAATTAATTTTTTTATGGGTACTAGCAATAAATTTAAAACTACATTCACTTTACAGTTGTAACTTATAAGTCTGTTGGCCGTCGTTGTTTTCTTCAAACCATTTAACTAATTAATAACTACTTATATTTTTGCAAGAAGTCAATACACAGATTAAATAAAAATGTATAAAATTAATTTTTGTGATAATTTATTTTTTCTTAATTGAGTATAGTAGGAGTATGAAATCCAGAATTTCCAAAAAACAGGAACCCCATATTTCCCATATTTTATTATATTTTAATCAACACATTATTATGTATTTAAATTGTCTACTTTACCTATTATAGTATAAAGAACTAGTTTTGTATCACTTTCTACAAAATACTCATTCTATTATTCAATAATGGTTATAGTTTTTAAGATGTTAAACATTGATTTGTAGTAGTTACTACAAATCTGCAGTAACGCGTTGTGTTAATGTAAAAATTGCAATTAATTTTATTTTCTACATAGCCTCATTTACTTTTCATTTAAAAAAATGTTACACTTAAATTTTTTTTTTTATTATTGATTCAATTGACATTCCATAATCCATTATATTACACTGATTTCAATTAAAAAAAAAAAAAATAAAGAAAAAAATTATAGTTCAGATAAATTCTTCATCCCAATTAAGCTGTCTAAACATATAAATGTATTTGATATCAAATAATATGATGATAGATAGTCCACATAATCACTCGTTTCCACTTTCAATTGCTTTCTATGGGAATTATACAATTTAGAAAATCGAGAGTAAAAATAAAGAATAAAAAATATAGTATTGACAACACATAACTCTATATACAAACATGTATATTTTTATCAGCATATTATATACAAATATACTTAGCCCGGGTACAACTATTTTTTATTTGAGCGTAATTAGTATTATTTATCATTTTAATTTGATCTGTTATTATTTATTAATTATATTAAATTTATAGATATATGATTTTAAACTTTATTCATATCATTATTAAAATTGTAATTTAATATATTTGTATAATAAAAGTTTAGATATATATATATTATTATTTACTAAATATTACGGTATAAACGATGGTTTGAAATATTAATATATTTTTGTATACTTCAAACTGCTAAATGAATAAATATTATTATTTTAGTAAATTACTACTAGTAATGTAATAATAATTCTAAATTATAATATAATATTTTAATATAATCTTAAAATTTTAAGTAATAAATTAAAATGAATGATTTATTTAACTACATATAATTTTAGGTATATGAGTATGTTTTTATTTAGTTATATCTTAAACTGCCCAATATTTATCCACTGCTAATTGCTATTTTTTTACATCTTATCACATAATTCCCTACATGGTTATGTTTTTGATTTTATCTACACAACTATCTAAATTTTCCTCCCTTAAAAAACTAGCCCATCATTATGATAAAACAATTCACAGCAATCTATTAAATCATGCAATGAAAATCCTCTTATCTTCCTTAAATGTACTCCATAACCATTTTAGAAAATCTAAGAAGAATTAAGACCTTTTCCCTCGTTAATTTTTATCACTCTTTAGTTGGACTTTCTCTAAAAATAATTTTAAAATATACCACAATTAATACTCGAAAATTAATAGAATCAACAGAATTTAATAGTTCTTAATGTTAATTTTAATTAGGTAATATGTCATTATCTACATTATAATAAATCCATAAGTAAGTAAATAAGATTAGTGGACATGGATTATATATTACTCGTATTTATGAAAATATGAAATGCTCATTATTCATAAATTTTTAAAGTATATCTACATGTTGTTTTTAGTTTAAAAATATTTTTACATTTTTGGTAACATATATTTTAATATATTATTGCACTATAATACAGGATATCATATCCCCCACTTTCTAAAATACTGAGCACGTGACTGTTACTGTATAAACAATATAGATACATATTACATTGATCATTGACACACGATATATCATATATATTCTACAGCTGCAATTTTTTTTTTTCATAAAATATAATAATATAATGAGTCTTCATCAAAGGCATACTTTAAAATAATTTTTTTACTTCCTATATTAACTATAGTATATAATTTATCATATAATATATCTATAATAACTTGCTGTATGGTCATCTTACAAGAATAATTTCTAAAGAAAGCTATGGTATAATTAATTAAATAAAAAAAAAAAAATGCGATTGTATTTAATCTTTAAATCAAGACTGGTTATTTTACTTTTTCATAAAATATAGCTCTAGCAGCTAGCTATATACCTTACTATAACTCATAGGAAGGGTTGAACTTAGTGAATATAACATGCGCGTGTTGTGTATTACACAGAGTATAGTTTAGTGGCCACTGTCGATAATTTAATTGATGATACAAAATTGTTGATTTAAGCTTGATAAATGGAAATATATGTAATGGGGCAGAGATGGATAGTATTGATGACTATATTACAGGTAATTAGTTTATTTATTTTTTGTATGAACATAAAGTACAAATCCAATATTTTAATTTTAAAATTCTAAAAAATTCATAAAATAATATTGACGTTTGAATCTACATTAATTTGCCTATATAATATACACTTAATTTTACCTTAATGGTTTTTAAGTTTTTGTTTACTACAGTTTCCGATTAAAGAATTATATAAGAAATGGATATAATATACAAACAATACATTTCAAACAAACGTCTATCTCTCAAGTGTTGAAACAATTTTAGTTCTAATGATAATTATTTACTCTATAAGTACCTGCATAATTAAAATTCAGCATTTATTGTTAAGAAAAATTGACTAAATTGAATAAATTATACATATTAAAGATAAAATATTTTAAATATTATCTACTTGGATGGTATTTCTAAGTAAATGTTAATATTTATCGTTATGTTATATTATGTTCTCAAAAATCAAAGTTACTTTTTATATACTATAAAGCTATAAATATTTTAATAATATTTTAATTATACTAAATTATAATATAATATTTTCAAATTTCAATATATTATCACGTTTAGTGTTTGTAACAGAAAGTCGCTATACGCAAATCTGTGTCTATTTGACATCAAAGATGGGCAAGTTAATAAAAATAATGAACTCTAATTAAATTTAATTAAGTGAAAACAAGATCTTTAAGTAAGATTTTAATAATAAATTTGACTAGCTGAGTTCAAAGTTAAGATGAAAAATAAAATATTAATATAACTTATTTTAAGTAAAATTAATCTACTTATAAGTTTATTACATAAAAAGTAATATGATATGTATATAATATATAATAAATATTAATTATATATATTATAATTTAATAAGAAACATAACAGAAAAAACCGTTTTATAACTATAATAGTAGAATTAGATTATTTTTATTTAAGACCTTGTATATAGTAAAATCTAGGACTCGGGTGTTTATGAAATTTTATATTTTTTCTATTTATCCAATTTAATGCTAACCTGAATATAAATTTAATTCATGTTATACTGAATCAAATAATACTATTTTTTTTATTTTTTTTTTTTTTTTTTATATTGAACTTTATAAGCCCGGCGACTAGGGTCATTAGCTGTTGTAGGGATTATGAACTGTGGTAGGGGTAAGGTTGATACGGTAGGTTGTTTTTTACGATTGTTATGGTTGATAGCAAACACATGTATGTGTGGCAAGGTTTTTAACCACTATGAACCCGAGTGGTCACCCATCCGGGAGCTAATAGCTGTGGCTGTTACTTATTCTCAGTTGCATTCCGCGACTGGTAGCAGCCAACGCGCCACGCCAAGCCACAATATTATTTTTATTTTGCATATTTTTGCATAATTTATTGTTTCATATTTTGGGATTTTAAAAATAAAAAAGCATATTTCCGTACATTAAAAAAAAAAAAACAATATAACTAATGAACTACACAATTAATTTTACAATTATTGTTTGTTTGTATAATTGTATAGGTGGTAACTACAGTCTACAATTTATCAAGTATTAACGTAAAATATAAATGTTTATTATCGATTTATCGTGTTTGTTCGGAATTACAGTACTTTATTGGACAAGGTCTAAGATAACATCAGTTGATGTAGAACGAAGCTTTTCATGTTACAAAAATTTACTTAACGATAATAGACGCAGTTACAAATTTGAATAAATTAATAAAAAACTATAGTAGCACAGTATAACGCTAATTACTAATAATGGTAATACCTAATTTATAAATAATAATATAAATTAAAGTAAATAAAATGCTATATAAATTTAAAAAATATATTTAAAATAAATAATAAAAATTTTTGTGCATATTTAGGCATTTTTATTGGTTAAAAATGCATATTTTATAATTTTTAGCGCATATTTCGTAATTTTTAGTGCATAAATGCATACATATTATAGTAATTTTAAGTACATAAACATTCGAGCCCTAGACTAATATCAGTATAGAAAATCATTAAACCCAAAAAATTACAAGAACATTTTTAATTTCAACTTGAACTATTTTTAAATTAACTGAAACAAAAATTAAGTTATTTCAAAAGCAGTAAATCAAACTAGTAAAATTATTAAGTACACTAGAAAATTACTTATAGCTTGTTAAGTTAAAAAGTAGAAAAATAAATGTTTTGCTTTTACTAATAAATAAATAAATTGGGTAAAACACGTTTGCGTACGTTCGTTATCGGCGATACCTTTTTTAGGTACACGATTGCGTACGATTTTACCTGATTTTTAACTAAACGATTGCGTATGAAATTTTAAGCGCTGTTGCCAATTTTCATACCGGTATATATGACCAGGGTTGGGATTTTATAGCATTTGTATATTTCTTATGAGATGCTTAAAAAATAGCAGAGTAAACTAAAAATGTGTTTCATGATACAGAGAAGTCAAATTAAACATTTTATTTTTCTAAAATCTGTCTTATATTTGAAATTATATTTTTGTCAATCGAATTATCAAGTAAATTGTAAATCCTTAGATTAAGTAAATAGGTCGATTACGCTGATGCAACGTCGTAACGTCGTACAATTACAGAGATAATATTATATAGATATTTCTAAACCAGAGCGATTATACAATCGGTTAATAATGGGAAAAAAAGACTTAAACAGAATCCAAAGCACCATAAAGGATTATGATGAGTATAAAAAAATCCATAAAAATGTAACTCAATATTTAAAAGTAGTAGGCTATAGATGTCAAGGAATCGAAATTTAATCTTACTTATTTATTAATTACTTTTTTACCATTAACTTTTTTTATTAATTATTTTAGAACTTTAAATTTATTCAATATTTTTTATATTATTATTATTTTATATTATATTATTTATTAATACGATGAAAAAATTAAAATTGACAACGTTGCATACAATTTCATACGCAATCGTGTTTATTTATTTTTTCTTAAGGGTACTTTTAACCCATCTACAAACATACGCAATCGTGTTGCCAAAAAGGACAAACGTACGCAATCGTGTTCTACCCAATAAATTCCTGTCTTTGTACAATATAATATTTATCTCATCTGCAGGTGATAACGTTAACGACATTAACAGCGAAGTCAATTACTTCAGCCGGAATCACTAATTACCGTCAAGTCAAAGTTCACGGCAGAGCTTTGGACTATCGCGGTGATCAACAGCAAGTGCAAACACAGATACCCACGAATAGAACATTTATCGGGACAAATCAACCCAAAATCCAAAAAAACGCAGATAATCGCAAACCGTCATTGGCCGTCAGTGCTTCTGTCCAACGAATTCAACAACAACAATACAACAGTACGATATCATACTTAGACTGGACGCCGGTTGTGCAGCACAAAGAATTACTGGAAACTGTTATGCCATCTACGGTAAATGATCGACAAGATTATCAGCAGCAGCAGCGACAGCTACGTCAACCGGACGCAATTGTCACATTCGTGACGTATCCGCCGCCGACGATGACCATGCACCACAACAATAAGCTGCTTCTGAAAAATCACGTTCAACATTACGACGACGAAAAAGATAGTTTCCAGAATATTAATCACTACCAGAACGTAAACGCCAGTGATTTACCCGAAATTAATAACAACAAACGTCATAATGTTACGCACATCATCACTGATACTTATGGAGCAGTTGACAAACATCGTAAAAATACGGAATTTGAATTTCATGGCGAAATGCAAAAGAACAAGCCTGGTCATCAAAATAATTACAACAATGGGGTGAACGCGGCCAAAAAACAAAATAAACATTCCATTCAACGAGTGTACAACGCAAACGTAATAAATACAGAGCGACAGCCTCAAAATAACGATTCGGTTTTCGAGCGTAAGCTCCATCATAATGCAGCTCACCAACTCGCGAACAATGATGGTGTGCTACAATCGGACAACGCAAATAATAAGCACAATTATCAGATTGTCAACATAAGAACACACAATCAAAAACATAGAGAAAATCAACATACTTATAATTTTCTCAAGAATGGATCAAAAAGTGACGTTTTTCGCGATTATCCAAATAACATTACCACTGCTGTCGCGGATATGATGGCATCAATCGAACACGAAAACGGTCACGCTGAAGTATACAATATGTATAACTCGGACGCAATCGACATGGCTAACGAACAACATCTAAATAATTACAACGATAATATCGAAGATGGAAATAATGACTTTTATCGTGATAATGATGACTATGACCCACAGCAAAACGTATATGCAAACGCGATAGTTGATGAATGGGGAAATAGCGCTCATCGAGAAATCGTCAACACAGACTCAAAAGCCCAAGAACACAATGATAATAGAAAATTTGAAAATTTGAAATTTGACCGAGGCGCACCTGAGCAGCAAGTGAACAACAGTCAGTACGTAAATATGAACGAAACGGCTGCAAGATTGGAAGTGAACAACGTAACAACGTATAAACAGCGTAGTAAAAACGACGAGCGAAAAAAAATCGAACACCAACGACGTCGAAAAATATCAGACAACAGAAATGCCGAAATAAATCCAACGATTCTGACGACGGCTTCGCCTCAACAATTACGACGCGAAATTCCATCGTTGGCTCAGACTCGCCGACCCGCTACCGACGATGAAATAAGTAGTCGGGTACTGTACGATAGTCAAAACGTTTTCGGACGAAAATATGTAAGTGTATAGTGCAATTAAGTTAAGACGACGACCTAACTTGATGACATAACATGTTAAATGCATGAAAGAGAAGACAAAAATAGTTTATTAACTGCTAGTCATCTTCTTATCTCGGTCGCATTATACTGTATATTATTATGTATATTATTAATTATTTTAATGCGTGCAATGTTGACAAAAAGGACTATCTCACATATTATATTATATTTATTATACACTATATTATTACGTTGTTACCGCTCTGTCCACCAAACAACTGAATTTGGCGGATACGTAAACTATCTGTAGATACGTAAACCACGATATCGTATTTATTAACTTTATTACTAAACATTAAGATAAACGACAACAGGAATTCGAGGCCCCTAAACCCATAGGTAAACTATTTTTTTAATTATCGAACATTTTATTTCGGGACGGCACTGAACGGCAACGTCGCTCTAAAAATCGTTTTCAATCGTTTGATTATAAGGTACAAAATATTGTTTCTTTGATCTGCCGCAATCATTCTCAATCATGTTATCAAAAAGATTTAACGTTTTCAATCGTACTCGTTATATTAATTATAGATACATTGAAACAAATAAAATTAATTTTGTTCGAAACGTTTTGGGGACGGAGAAAGGACTGTGTAAAGCTTGGTTTTCATTGAAAAACTAACTATAACTTAAAAAATACGAAGTTATTTATTCTAAAAAGATATTATTTTATTGGGTTTTTTTTTTTTTAGAATCACGACGATCATGCACATATCATAACACAAAGTGATAAACAACCAACGGTAACATCCACTGTAAGAGCTCCCGTTGTGAGAGAAAACAATAATAATAACAAATCGACCGAAGAAGAACTGAAACAGCCCGAGCAAGGCAGTTACGGTTTTAAATACACCGTATTGGACGAGAAAGTGGGGATGGATTTCGGCCAATGGGAACATCGCGAGTCCGGTCGTACCGGTACTGTTACAGGACTATACCGGGTTCGGTTACCAGACGGCCGAATACAAACTGTCAAATACATTGCTGGCCCGACTACCGGTTACAGAGCATCCGTTACTTACGAGGGCGTCTAACGTCATCCGACTGCGGTCCTACTGCCATTTGTCGAATGGAACGACTCAAAAAACGCCAAAACAAGAGCACCTGACTAAAATTATTACTTACTTATATTTTATAACTATGATTTTAATTTATTGAGGAAATTACCTTCATAATTTATTTTTAAGGATAATATGCTAAATTTGTTATCGATATAATTATATTAATTTCAAAACGAAATCCTGGTTTAGCAATGTGACGAAAAAATATATGCACAGTGGACCTTTAAGGTATGGGTGCATGACACCTTATTAGTTAAAATAAAATAAATGCATTTAACTATGTAAAACTTGGATTGTCCTACTTTTAACTATTAGCATTACGCGACTAAAATATACTTAAATTATATGCGAAAAAAGTATGAGAATCTGTGATTTAGATTTATATGTGACAAAAAAATACTTCCAGCTCAATTTTATTTTTGAAATTACATTTTCTATAGGTTTGTTTAAAAATGGATTTTTATTTTTATTCAGTGACTAAAATATTTTTCAAATTAAACATAGTTTGAAAAAAAAATTTACAGTACATTATAGTAATTACTAGAATTCATATTTTAAAGGGAAATTAACTAGTTTACCAAGTAATTTAAATAGAAGTGGTTGGTAAGTGAAGGAATTAGTGACTGGAAGCACTTGTCTGAAAAGTTATCTGAACATGAACGAACTTCTGCTCATAATCAGACAATAAAAATTTGGATGGAACTAAAAATACGAATTTCGACTTTAAATACTATAGATAAACAACATCTGAGTCAAATTGAAAAAGAGAAAAAATATTGGCGGGATGATGTACTTGTAAGAATTTTAGCTGGTATTCATTTCTTAACAAAATACAACGATGCATTTCGAGGACCATCTGATGTTATTTATACTGAATATAAGGGCAAATTTCTCGGTTACATCGAAACATTAGCTAAGTTTGATTCTGTAATAATAGAGCACGTTAAACGAATTAAATGTAAATAAGCCCACAATCATTATCTCAGTCATGATATTGAAGATCAACATATAAAATTGATTGCGAATAAAATACAAAATAAAATAGTAGCGGTCATACATAACTCAAAATATTATTTGATCATGGTGGACTGGGCGATTGTAAACTCCACCAGAATACAGGCTAAGATAAAAAGGGAATTATCCGTTTCGGCCAAAATGTGAAACAACCTATTCTGACGATTCCGCTATCACCCGTTTCCACCACTTCAAAAAATGTTCAATTCCCGTTTTCACCAATCTATCTGTTATGGTAAAATTATTATAATATATTCCATATTTATTATTGGTGTATTATTCCTATTATTTTTAAGTTATATTTAAGTTTTAACTTGAGATAATTATACATGGTTTATATATAATATGACAACATTGCATTTGACAAATATATTATACTCAAATAAAAATACATAATATTTTTGTGATACATAGTTTTAATATAAATATAGAAATAAAAATAATAATAAAAGTCATAATATTCTGTAGTAATTTATTTAGCATAATTAAATGCAACATACTTCACGTACGAATAACGCAATATTAGTTTATTTTTAAAATCACTTATAGCTTTACTAGTTCTAGCACATTTTAAAAAAATAGATTTATTTTTTGGTGTACTCGGAACATTTAAATTGGCGCTATTTATTTTAATGTAAGTATCCGTCTGGATATTTTCAACCAAAATTTTTAAAAATATGATTATATTTTGGTGCGATTTACAAAACTGTTGGTTAGTGTGTATAAAATGATTCATAATTGTTTGTTATGTATTTAAACTTTCTGTCATACATGCCCATATTTTTGGAGGAAATTTTTTTTTCACTAAAAATTTGGAAAATGTTACCCTATGGGCATGTATGATAGTAACTTTAAGTCAACTACAAACAATTTTAAATTATTTCATTTACACTTAAACCAACAGTTTTATAAATCACATCAAAATATAAATATATTTTTAAAAATGTTGCTTGAAAATATCCAAACAAATTTAACAAAATATTATGACTTTTTAATTATTTTAATTATTATATATTTTATATTAAAACTAGATATTACAAAATATTATGTATTTTTTATTTAATATAAATAATACTCCAATTAATATGCAATACATTGTAATAATTTTACCATAGCAGGTAGATTAGCGGAAACAAGAATCAAACCTTTTTTTTAAAGTGGCGTTACGGACGATGGCGGAAACGGTACATGCCCGATAAAAAGGTAATAAAAGGTCTAATGTAAACTCCGCCATTCTTTTTTTCTTACCTGTAATGGGTATATGTAAACTCCTCCAGTTTTTTTTTTTTTTGTTTAGCTGCTCAGTGCTCACATTGCTTTGTGCTTACTCACATTAAATACGTTGAGATCTATTGCGATGATATAAATGGAGTCAAGCACGTATACAAAATACAATTTTGGGTGGGGGGGGGGGGTTACAAAATACAATAGTAATACAAATTATACCGCAAAATAATAAAACAATTTTTTCCTCGTTACTCATTATTTTTTAATATGACAATTAATATGCTAAGTATCCAAATTTTATGTATATCATTTGTTCAGAAATAAGTTTATAAGAACAATTATAATAATAAATAATAATAAATAAAACTTTAAACATTTATTTTATTAGTACCTATGCACATAAAATTACATAAGTGTATTATACTATTCACTATTAAGTATCTAGATAGAAGAAAAAAATTAAACAATTTATATATAATACACTAAAAAATTACAAATTAAAGTATAAAATCCCATTTTCGTGGTAACTTAGCAAATATCGATAATTTCTACTACATTTAAATCAAAATTTCAGTATATGTTTAGTAGGTAGTGCCAATCCAGTAATTCTAATTTCTCTTATATTATTTCGTTTGAACCCCCCCCCCCCTGTAAACGTGCCTGAATGGAGTAATACAGGACTTAGAATATTTACAAATTGTATCACATCATTTTAGTTTACAAACATGACCTAATTATAAATTTTTGCATTATTAGGTATAAAGATTATTTATTACGATTTTTTTACCATGATTTAAATATTTAATGTGAACAATATTATAATTTTTTTTTAATAATATATTAAATTTATACTACTACTTGATTTTCTTCACTGGGGGAGTTTACATGAACCTAATTTTACACGTTTTTTTTTTTCTAGCAGAGTTTACAATAAAAAAAAATACTTGTGGCGGTGTTTACATGCGCCCAATAGACTGTACACCAGATATTAGTCACTAAGAGTAGGTATCATTGATAATTAGGGTCGTAGATATGGATACCGATAACGAGCTAAGTGATCCAACAATTAAAGAAATGTTTATGGGGTTCATTAATGTTAATTCTACGACAGGATTACATCTGACAAACGTTCTATTAGAAAAACTAAAAGACAACAAAATTGTTATAAATAACTGTCGAGGCCAAGGCTTCGATAATGGCACTAATATGAAAGGCCAATAATCAAGGTGTTCAAGCACGAATAAAAAATTTTAATTCCAGGGCATATTTTACCACATGTGCAGCACACAATTTAAATTTACTACTGGGAGACTTGACAATAACCTCAACTAAAGCTGTTTCATTTTTTTGGGTGATTCAGAGATTATATTGTTTGCTTTCGTCCTCTACTATCCAATGGGACATTTTTTAAAAATATTATAATTTATATACTTTAAAACAATTGTCAGAAACTCGTTTGGAGTGTAAAGTTAATAGTGTAAAAGCTTTGCACTTTCAGTTACCAAGTGTAATTAAAGCTTTGGAAAAAATGGCTATACAACCAACGATCCAAAAACAAGAAGTGAAGCTCATTCTTTAGTTATAAATTAATTAAATAGCTATGAATTTGTGTTAATTTTAGTGATCTGGTATGAAATTCTATCAGAAGTCAATGTTTTAAGTAAGAGCTTGCAAAGCATAAACATGCATCTGGATTTATCCGCTAATTTTCTAAATGGACTATTAACATTTTTTGAACAATATCGTACTAGAGGATTTGATTCTGTTAAAATAACAGCCAACACAATTTCAGAGGACTTGGATATCGAGATAGAATTTTAAAAAACTCGTAAAAGAGTCAAAAAGGTCATATTTCAGTTACGAAGGACCTGACGATTTAATTGAAGATGCTGAACGTATGTTCAAATATTATTTTTTTCTTTTAATTATTGACCAAGCAATTAATAATTCAATGAATGAACAATTTCATCAATTTAAAATGTTTAATAATAATTTCGGATTTTTGTATAAAATTGAGCAGTTAAAACATATGAATAATGAAGATTTAATGATACTCTGTCTGACAGTGATTCTAAGGATATTGATGGGGTTGAATAATACGAAGAATTAATCATTTTGAGGAATATTATTATTTATTCATGATACTAATACGGCGTTACAAATTTTATCATTGTTGAAAAAAATTATGGATTCATTTCCAAATACTTGTACCACCTTAAAAATTATCTTAACAATTTCTGTAACATCAGCCACTGTTGAAAGAAGTTTTTCAAAACTGAAAATAATGAAAAACTATTCGAGAAATACCATTTCGCAAGATAAGATGTCAAACTTAGCACTGATTCCAATTGAAAATAAAATATTAGAGTCTCTCGATTACAACGATATTATTGAAATATTAGCTTCACAAAGTTTTATAAATAAATTTTTTTAATATTTATAATGATCTATGACTATTGTTGATTGTTTTAATGATGTCTTACAAAAAAAAAAAAGAATATTAATTAATAAACTTGACAATTTGTTATTTTAGTAGCTTATGTTTGTTTAATATCTTCTATAGTATCTAAAGACAAATACATTTTATTTGATTACGTATGTATAAGAAAATACAATTATAAAACGTATATTATAAATTTTTAGTTTTTAAGTTTAATTTCATTGTTTAACTTTTTACATTACATAAATAAAATAAAACAATTAATTACCACTATAAAATTCTTATAAATAATTTAATTTTGTAAAAGAGTTAATTCATAGGTCATAATTTCATCAATATTTTTGGGGAATACCCTAGG